TTTATAATTGCCATTGTAATGAGTGTAAAATAAATAGTTTAGATTTGCATTTCTTTAGCATTGTTTATAACAATATGTTTTTAATTTTGATGTTCAGTTTATCTTTTGTCACATGTGCCTTTGGTATTTAACCTATACACCAATGACCATAGTAGTACTGCTCACAGAGCCACAGTGGGGTGGGGTTGGGGTTTGCTCAGTAGTACAGCCCTTGCCTAGCATGCAATAGACCTTGGGTTTGACTCCAACACATGGTATTTACATAAAATGGAATATGACCAGCCTTCATTACCTAATCCAAGATATGATGACGTACTTCAGTTTTTCTCTAAGGGTTTTATAGTTTTAGCTATTACAGTAAGTCAACTTTTATGGCATAAAAGAGGAACCCAACCTGAGTATTCTGCATGTGGCTATCCTCTCCCAGCACCATTTGCTGAAAGGATTTTTTGTTTTGCCTCTATTAAAGTATCTTGGCACTCTTGTAAAAAATTAATGGCCATAAATGTTAAGTTTTATTTTTGGACTTCTGTTGTGCTGATGAAATGTTTCTCTGAATGCCAGTGCCCCACTGACTTACTATAGCTGTGAAGCAAATTTTAAAATTGGGAAGATTGGACTGGGAGTGTAGCTGATTGTAGAGGTCTTACTTTGCTTAGGTAAGGCCCTGAGTTTGATCCTATTTATTGTAAAAAATAAAATAGTAATAAAATGAAAAAGATTAAATTTAACTTTTTTTTTTCAAGATTTTTTTGGGGGAGGGGCTATTCTGGGTCTTTTGCATTTCCATATAAGTTATAGAATCACTTTCTGGTTTTCTGCCCAAAAGGCAAATGACATCTTTATGGGATTGTGTTGAGTGTGTACATCAATTTGGGGACTCCTACCAGCTTAACAGTATGAAGTCTTGCAGTCCATGAACATTGCATGTTTTTCCATTTATGGAGGTCTCCTGTAAGTTCTTTTAACAATGCTTTATAGTTTTCAAAGTACATGGGTTTTTTTGCTTATTTTGTTAAATAATTTTATTCCTAAACATTGTATTCTTTTGATGCTGTTGTGAAGAAATTTTAATTTCACTTTCAGAGTGTTTGTTGCTAGTATATAGAAAGATTGGTGATTTTTGCATACTGCTCTTGTACCCTGCAACCTTGTTTATTAGTTCTAATAATTTGTATTGCATTATTTAAACTCTTTATATACAAGATCATGTCACCTATAAATGGATGCAGTTTTAGCTCATCCCTCCAGTCTGAATGTCTTGTAGTCCTTTTTCTTTTCTAACTGTCCTGACTAAAACTCTGATACAGTGTTGACTAGAGGGGCCAGGGCAATAGCTCAGTAGAATAAGCGCTTGCCTAGCAAGCGTAAGGGCCTGAGTTCAATCCCAGTTCTGCAAAAAACAAAAACAAAAAAATGCAATGTTGACTAGAAGTAATGAGTGGACTTCTCTGTCGTGTTCCTGATCATAGAGGGAATAACTTGGTCATTCACCACGAAGTGTGATGGCTGCTGTGTAGTGTTTATAGATTCCCTGTTCTAGATCAAGAAGGCTTTATCTATTCCTAGTAGGTGTATTTTTATCATTAAAGGGTGTTAGAGTTTGTCAAATAACTCTTTGTGTCTACACAGATGATTGTGGGATTTTTTTTAAACCTTTATTCTGTTGATATATTGAAAAACAATTTGTTTTCAGTGTTTGGGATTGTGCCTTCACCCTGGGCTATGTATACCCACCCCCCAGTTTTGTTTTTCATTTGGAAATAGGGTCTGAGTTTTCAAGTTGCCCAGGCTGGCTTGAATTTGTAATCATCCTACACCAAGTACTGGGATTATAGGCATATGCCATCATGCCCATCTTGATTTCTTTTTCTTTCTTTCTTTCTTTTTCTTTTTTTTTTTTTTTTTTTAAGATAAGGTCTTGCTGTGTAGTTCAGGTTGACCTTGAACTCACTATGTAGGCCAGGCTGGCCTCAAACTCATGGCAGCACTCCTGCATCAGCCTCCTGAGTGCTCCGATTACAGGCATGCACCACACCACCTGGTGGCTTGATTTTCTTACGTTAAGCCAATCCTACATTTCTTAGATAAATCCCACATGGTCGTTGTTTTTGTTTGTTTAATGGTGCTCTTTTTTTAAATTAGTATATGTTTGTAATACATAGTAGTCTTGGGGAATTGTTGGGGTTTTTTCCTTTTTTTTTTTTCAAAGTTTTATTGATAGATAGCAATGAGACAGTTTCAAATCGGAAGTACAGTTTCAACAAATAATATACTGCATATATTCTTCTTAGTGGTTAATTGCTGTACAAGATGCAGATTTGTGATCCTATTTACAAACACCATTAGAACAAATCATTCTATTCATTAAGAGAATGCAACTATATATCTATCCTAACCACTTTGAATACACAGATACAAAATGGACATTCATCGGTATACCCCATTTTTTCTAAGTTGTTATTGAATATTATAGGTGTGTAAACTCAGCAAAATATTCTAAAAGAGTTCAGCAGCCCATAATAGCATTGGGTCTTCTGTTTAATTGGCAATGTCAGAAATTATTGACCTGAGTCCCCCTCAGCTCAACTTAACAGCATGGCTTTACTTCCTATATTTCGTCTTCATACTTTTCTACTGGACGGTTAAGACCAAGGTAAAGCAGGACCTATGCAACAAGAGTTGTAGCTTTTTGGTCTGAGAAGGTCAGTGAAATGCCCTCAGGATTTATCCTGAGATCCTATACCTCAGATTGTAAAACCTTTGTCAATGCAGCCATGTGGATGAGTCACGGCCATTGCTTGGCCAATGTGCTCTCTGTGAAAGCCTGAGAGAGTGTCTTCTCTCCATGTGACTCTCCTTAGGCACGCTCTACGTTATCAATCACTTTCCTCTTTGGCCCCATAATCTTCTTGATCAGAAAATTTGGGACACTACCGAGGTACATAACGTTACAGTACAAGTTCTCATATGTCCTGAGTCTTAATTGACCTTAGAAGACTAGGGCCAAAATACTGGCTTTCCTTGTAGCCCTCCTTTTTCTCTAATTTTGGTCTGCAAACTTACGTTGTTAACCATCCAGAAGACAAGCTTATTGTTATTATCAAACGATCTAGGCTATCAAGCTTTAACCTCACTATCTCACTGCATTTCAAACATCTTAGGCGTAATAAGGAACAGGTATTTTTCATCAAGTATTGGTATGTTGAACTTTAAGTCCCTATATAATATGATAAAAAACATTTAAAAATTAGATTATATTTTAAAAATAGGATAAAGAATTCTATACTTCTCATGTTTGCACATAAGTCCAAAAATCTCACCATATACAACCTTGAAGCAGGACAGTCCCACAATATTCCTTTTCCTGTCTCTTGCTTTCATTCACCACCCCCTTCTTCTTGAACATCCACCTACCCGAGAGACATCTTAGCAGTAACTGGCCTGTCATGACAAGCCGTTGGGGAATTGTTGCATATACTTACCTCTTGATCATTTTCACTCCCTTGGTCATAATATATAACCCTTTTTATAAGTTTCTGGGTCCAGCTTGCTATATTTTATTGAAGATGTTTGTTTCTGTATGCATAAAGACTATTGGTTGATGGATTTCATTTGTTTGTTGGTCTTATTTTTATAGTTTTTTGGTTGTGGTATCAGAATAATATTGGCTTCAGAGAATGATATTTCCCTCTTTTATTTTAATTTTAGTTTTTTGACACAAGGTCTCACGATGTAGTTTGGGCTGGCCTTGAACTTACTATGTAGTCCAGGATGGCCTCAAATTCATAGTGATCCTCCTGCCTCAGCTTCCAAAATGCTGGGATTACAAATGTGCACCAACATGCCTGGCTTACTCTTTTATTGTTGAGATGTGGAGATTGGTATTAGTCATTCTCTAAATGTTCACTAGAATTTACCAGTGAAGTCATCTGGACTTGTACTGTACATGTCTGTGTGGTAATTTTAATTATAAATTCAGTCCTTTTACCGGTTGCATTATATTTTACTCGTGGAGCATGAAGGGCAGTTAGAGACCCACACCTCCGTGAAGTGCGCCATCTGGGAAGTGTGGGCCAGCTGCAGTCAGGAAATCTGGAGGCGCTTACAGCACACCTGAGCTGCTCCTCTCCTGCCCTTCACTGGGCCGTGTTGCTGATGAGGTCAGGACAATAACCTGAACCTGTCTGGGATGGGAAAGGTGGTTATATAAACATCACCTGACGACAGCGAGGGGATTAGTGTTCCGAGAGCAGAAGCTTGAAAACTTCCATGTGTGTGTGTGTGTGTGTGTGTGTGTGTGTGTCTGTCTGTCTGTCTGTCTGTCTGTCTGTCTGTCTGTCTGTCTGTCGGTGTTGTGTTTGTGTCTGTAAATGTTGATAAAGAGAGATCTCAGCTGTTCAGATTCCCAGAGCATAAGTGCTAGACGAAAGCACTCGTGAGCATTTAAGAGCAAAGTAGCTCTCGCACACTGATTTGTAGTAAGCTCTAACACATATAATTAAATGAAATGGGCAAAATAATGTACTTTCATTTGTGTTAAAAGAAGAAAGTGGAAGGGAACCTGTGGACGCTCATGGACTGGTAAATGTATGTGCTGTGGATACCCAGTGTAAGAGTTGGACGGCAGGACACTTAGTACCGTGTGTGTTTTCCCATAATGGTTATGCAGTCTTAAATAATTTTGTAAAATCCTGGGTGCTTGTGTCCTCAGGGAGACTACTGCCTTTCAGCTTGCACATTCATCCAAGATGTGCACTGTGAACATCTGACATGCACTTGAAGCCTCCTCAGAGGAGGTTGTGAGGACATCTCTGTGAAGCCTCATCTCTTACACTGCAGGCCAACAGAGTAGGGCTGCTCAGTTTGGCGGTGCCCACAGGCTTCTCCTCCCATCTGGAGGGTGTGCTCTGGCCTCCCCAGGGGCTGCTCCAGTAGCTCAGGCATCTCCTCCCCAGACACCTGAGGCCCCAGGCACCAAGGCTCCTCTGTCTCCACAGAGAACACCTTCTGCAGTGGAGACCACGTGTCCTGGCACAGCCCTCTGGATAACAGCGAGTCCAGAATCCAGCACATGTTGTTGACAGAGGACCCACAGCTGCAGCCTGTGCAGACCCCCTTCGGGGTAGTCACCTTCCTCCAGGTGAGTGGCAGGCACAGGCAAGGAGGGAGGCGATGAGGAGGCTCCTGCTGGTGGTCTCCAGCCTCTGACCGTCTGTCAGGGGATTCAGCTGGTCTTGGGAAGGGGAAGGACAGTTGAAGTGGAGGGAATAACTGTGGCTTGAGGGGAAGGGGTAACAGGGTAGACCTACAGGCCTAGAGGAAGCCAGCTCCAGGCTGGTCACCTGTCAGCACTTGCTTTTGGTTATGGTGTGGTCTATGTGAAGATTCACTTGCTTCTCAGGCTACCTACATAACCCTCCTATGCTGCCAGAGACAGGGCCTAAGTTGGCACAGGCCCCAGTTTTCTCCTTTGCCACTGGAGGCTGGACCTTGTCTTAGGCAGGTGCCTGATTCCTCATGGCAAGAGCAGGAGTAAGGCCTTTGGGGGGACGTGATCTGTGAACCCAGCTGTTTCCTTGCTGTGCCCTTCCTTCCTTGCGGAGCCCTCCCATACCAGTGCAGGAGTGAAGAGGCACCTATGGGTGAATCTGGGCAGCTGGCCTTGGGAAACTGGGTTGACTGGTGACATGGTGGAATCTTGTCACGGGCTTCAGATTGTTGGCGTCTGTACAGAGGAGCTGCACTCAGCCCAGCAGTGGAACGGGCAGGGCATTCTGGAGCTGCTTCGGACCGTGCCCATGTGAGTGCATCCGATGGGCCCTGGGGATGGGCTGCCTGGTGGGGAAGGGGTCCTTCCTGCACTGAGTCCCAGGGAGGCTAGCATCCCCACTGCAGACCCTGACACCATTGTTTCCCCTTTGCTCATTCGCAGCGCTGGTGGCCCCTGGCTCATAACTGACATGCGGAGAGGAGAGACCATATTTGAGATCGACCCACATCTGCAAGTATGTCTTGAGTGAGGAGAACCAGCTAGCACACTGCACCCAAGCGTCCTCCGCATAGCACCGCCTTTCACCCTGGGAAAAGGAGCAACTGGGGGGCTCGGGTTGGGGGAGTGAGGAGAAGCACAGCCCGACTTGGAGCCTGTCCCCTGAGCACTGCTGGTCACATAGGGGAGCAGGGACTGTAGCTCTGGAAAGCGTATCTCAGACTGTGTTTCAATTTTACGAAGATGAACTTTATTGTATGTAAATTACACATCAACTTTAAAAGATAGATAACCAGCGGCAAAAGAAAAGTGTAACAGATATTGCTTTCTTTTTTTTTCTTTTTTGGCTCCATATGCCTTCAGGGCAGGTTTGGCTGGCTTGAGTTGTGGGGATCAACCACAGCAACCTGAGCCTGACTGCTTTGTTGAAGCAGCCACTTAAAGAACTGAGCTAATGGGCAGGCCCCCAGGATATTGCTTTCTTGCCCTATTTTCCCTTCCTAAAAAAATAGGCTGCTTCCAAGAGCCACTGTACAGACAGTGGTCCAGGTAATGCAGGCCCCATGGCCTAACTGCAAGGTTGGCATAAGGATCCCGCCACCCCTCTTGCCACATTCATCTTCCACCCTAGCCTGGAGAGGTTGGCATTCTGTGATGTGTGAAGTGCACCTTGGCCTACCACTGCCCCCGCCGTGGCCCACATGCACAGTGTCACCGCCATTTTTAGTGTTTTAAAGGAAGTACTTCTTCGGCATGCAGGTGAATTTTGAAAACTCTTAAGAGCATCACTGCCTGTCCGATGGCCTACTAGGAACAGGAGCAACAGACTCCTTGTATCTGCCCTACATGGATTGTACCTTCCCTACTTCTTAAAGCTCTGACAAGTCACAGACTGCAGCCAGGAGTTTGATGTCCAAAAAAGGGGGAAAATGACAGACATGTAGCCCGCTATTCCTGGGTTCCTTACTGTGGGCTGTGAGTTCTTGGACATGAACCTATGTCATTCACAGATGATGCCCTTCTGTGTTCCTTGTGCCTCTAACACTGAGGTTTTCAGATTGCTGCCAGGTTCCTCTGTGTTTCTTCTTCAGCCTTAATGTCTGTGTGTCCTCTGCCTAAGCACGAGCCAGGAACCATCATGCAGTGTTTCCCTAAGCGTTTGTTCTGCAGCCATAGTGGGGCCCAGCGTGGAGCTCCGTGGGCTGCTATGTGGCCACTGTCATCAGTGCCAAGTACTCAGAACGAACCTGGTCCTTGAACTGGTACGATAAACAAGCCAGCCTTTGTCTGAATACTAAGAACAGTTCTCAAGTCTCTGGCCTCCCTTAGACCAGCCAACCAGACTAACAAACCATGGGAGAATGTACAGCTCTCTCTCCTGGTGGCCCTAATGTACCAAGTTTGAACTCCTCTGTGTTTGGGTCTTTCTGGGGTTTGCTCACCACCAATTCATTTAAGAGCTGTCTCGTGTTTCAGTGATTTAAGCTCTACTCCTGGCCTGGACATGGTGGTGCACACCTATAATTCCAGAACTTGGGAGGCTGGGCCAGACCAGCCTGGACTATACAGTGACCCTGTCTTAAAAAAAAAAAAAAAAAAATCATTACTTTAAACTCATCTACTAGCCAGCTGTATGCTCAAACAAGTCCCTAACTCCTAACAGCACTGCTGGTGTAGTGGTATCATGCAAGATTCCCCTAATTCCTCTGTGTCTTAATTCATTTTACTTACAAAGTAGGCTGGACTAGTAAAGCCAAGAAGTATCTTTCACCAGTTCTTCACCTAGGGGAGAGCTACAGGGCAGCCAGTGAAGACAGAGGAACTCAGGCTCTCCGCTGGGCAAACTAGAGCCTGTGTGCCCCACTCAGAGCTCCCAACTTTGCCACCCAGCCTGACGGTGGCATCAGAAGGGAGGAAGACTGATGTAAGGAGGTGCCACCTGTGACTGGCCCGAAGAAATAAGCACAATGCCAGGGCTTACCTAGATCGGCTCCCTGGCTGGTTTGGTGCTTGTGGAGCCCTGGAGAGGCAAGAAGACAGGGAGGTGCGGGCTGTCACAGGAAGTTGATTTGGCCATGTGGGTGTTTATAGGCAAGGTTACTAGAGCCCTCCAGATGATCTTTAATCCAAAACCCAGCATTACAGAACAGTGTTTTGCAAGAAAACCCAGGGGTACTTTGAGCTTGGCCCTTCCTTGAAGCAGTTTAGAGAGGTTTGGACTCCACGGTGTCAAGCCCTGCACAAAGACAGGGCTTGGGAATGGGAGGTTTGCAGATGGGCACTGTCCTTCAGGCCTACTTAAGCCTAAGATGTGAAAGCAGCTGAATCCAGAACCCTTTGGCAAACCAGTTAGCTGGCAGATAGGAGAAGGGCTACCCTCTGCTCTGGGGTGACCACCCCCCTGTAGGTGTTGAAAGAGGCAACTGCACCTGTGGCTCTCATCAACCCTAGCAGGTTTACCCTGCCTGCCCCGGGGAGTGGGGCTGGGCTGTCTGCATGATGGATTGGAGGGGACTGGAAGGATTGTGCCTTTCCTCAGGGAAGCAGACCCTGTCATTGCTTGTCAGCTCCTTGGCCAGCTTGGGATAAGGAGGGCGGCAGCTTAGAAAGAGGCATGAAGGCCACTGCTGGAAGGCTCCCTGGCATTTCTGTTCCTCCTGGCTTTCTCAAGTCTGGTTCTCTGGAGGAGTCCAGTGGCTGGCAGATCCCATTACTGTGTAACTGGGGCAAAACATGCTCAGAGTCCCTGCTCTCGCAGCAGTTGTCCAGGCTCGGCACCTAGAAGGATGGTAGCTGGAAGGGTGGTAGTAACCTTGAGCCACTGTTCTCTGAAGGAACTCTGGCTGTCTGGTTCTTTTCAAGCAGGAAAGAGTTGACAAAGGCATCGAGACTGATGGCTCCAACCTAAGTGGTGTCAGTGCTAAGTGTGCCTGGGATGACCTAAGCCGGCCTCCTGAGGACGATGAGGACAGCCGGAGCATCTGTATTGGCACACAGCCCCGGCGGCTCTCTGGCAAAGGTAGTGGCACCCCTGCCTTCCCCTTCCTATTGAGGCTCAGCTGAGAGAGCCTAAGTAGCCCTTTCAGTGGTGTGTTTCCTGGCCTGACCTAAGCAGCAGCCGGAGTCTTAAGGCAAGGGGGAATGAAAGGAGCTTTTTGGCCCTTCCCTAACTGTGTTTCCCACGTGTATTTCAAATGCATCACTGGGCCTGCAAGAAAGCTCGGCAGACTGAGTGCCTTCTTAGGCAAGCTCAGGGACAAGGATTCGATCCCAGCGCCACATGCCTCACTGGCCCCGTCCCCGGGCTCCCTGAGCCAGCCACTGAGACTGGGCGTGGTGGCACACACCTGTAATCCCAGTGCTGGGGAGGCTGAAAATAGGAGGACCACTGTGAGTCTGAGCTGCAGAGTCAGACCCTGTGCCAAATATATCAAATGCATCACCAACAGAGACCATTGTGTTTTCACTTTGCCCTTTTGATTTGAGGTCATGATAAGTGGAAACCATAGGATGCTTAACAGGAAAAGTCCACAGTCTACTCAAGGGCAGGAGAAAAATGCCAGCTACCTACAGAGTTGACACAGGGCCCCGCTTTGGCCAGACCCCAAGATCTCCATCCTCAAGCCCTTGCAGGGCTTCAGTGGGGAAAGCCTGAGTGTGGAGCCAACACCCCCAGCACCTCTGACTTCTGGGAGGGGTTGGAGTGGAGAAGGATGTGTCTGTCCTGTTGGAAGTTCCATGCTTGGTCTTGGTCTGTGTGGATTTTAGCAAAGGATGCCCGTAACTAGCGCCAAAGGAAGAACACCCATTTGCACACATATATGTTTGCAGCCTGTTTGTCTACTTCCTTTCTTAATTGTTCTAACCTTATTTTTTGATAAACAAGATCCCTACCACCTTGGTTAAAATTTCAATGTGTGTATTTTTTCTTTCTTTTTTTCTTTTTGCTGTTGGGAGTGGGACCCAGGGCCTTGTGTATGCTGATTATGCATTCTACTATTGGCTGTACCTTTAGGTGTAGGAAGATTCATAAAAGGATTTCTCTTTTTGAGGACCAGGGATATAGCTCAGTGGCATAAGCACCTGTCTGGCAATCATAAGATTCCCAGTTTGATCCTTTGTACCACAAAAAAAGAAAAAAAGGATTTCTCTTTTTTAAAAAACCAACAATTTAAACCTCTAGTACAAATATTTAATACATTCATCTCTTTCCAGCTGTTTTGTTTGTTTTTGTTTTCTTTTTTGCAACAGTGTTTTGCTTTGTAGTTCAGGCTGGCCTTGAATTCACTAAGTAGTCCAGGCTGACCTTGAACCTGCTGCAATTCTGCTGCCTCAGCCTCCTAGGTGCTGGGAATTGAGGAGTGCTTCACCACACCAGGCTCCTACTTGTTCTGACGGTGTACCAAGCTTGTAGGACATTCAGAAAGAAGGCCTACAGTGATTACAGTCATATGTTATTAAGATCACTTATCATGAAGCTCTGTGATGGGGTGTTTGTCTAGCCTGTGTAAGGTCCCGGGTTTGATTTCAGCACTGCCCCCATAAAAATGAATCATTTTGTTGCTTTTGACAAAAGAGGCAATTTAAGAAGTGGTTCACAATTTGAATCATTATTGGCTATTTTTAAAAATTATAGCTAAGCATGGTAGCACATGCCTATAATCCCACCAGTACTTTGGGAGGTTGAAGCAAGAGGACTACAAACCTGAGTCCAGCCTGGGCTACATAATAACTTAGTAAGACCCTGTCTCAAAACTTTTTTAAAAAGAGGTGGGATATAACTCAGTGCCTAAGATCCTAGATTCAATCCCCAGTACCAGGGAAAAAAATTGTAATTAAAAAATAAAAGTTAGCTGGGCATAGTAGCACAGGCCTATATCCCCATACTCAGGAGTCTACAAGTTCAATGCCAGCCTGAACTATGTAGTGAGACCCTGTCTCAAAAAACAATAAACATAAATAAATAGATAATAAAAATTGTAATGGTAATCCATGCCCTGGCAACAAGCTAGTCAGAAAAGTTAGCAATCCTATCTTCCCCATCTAGGCCTACACTTGAATAACTAGTGTTCATACCTCTTTTCCTTTGTGTTCACAGTGTGCAGAGGTAAGTCTTAGATCAAATTCTTCATACAGAGGGCTGAGGAGATAGCAGCATAAGTGCCTGCCTGGCAAGCACAAGGTCCTGAGTTCGGTCACTGGTACAAAATCTTCATACAGGCATAGACACTAGTAAGCTTCCTTGCAAAGACCATCGGAACACCTCAGAGAGATAATCCCCCTGAAGGGCTGCTGTGTCAGCTTGCGGTCCTTGCTGTGTCCTTGGAATTGCAGTTCCCATTGGGGAGTGAGGTGGAGAGATGACCCTCAGAGGGCAGCGTGGCCAGACACTAGTTGTCTCCCCAGAGCCCACTTGGGGCAGGGCACTGGAAGGCCTTGTAGTGGGCAGAGTCCCTGGTAGGCTAGGTAGTGGCAGAGACCTTGGTAGACATTCAGTGTCTAGGACCAAGGCTTGAGTGTCAGGAAGGACAAGGACCCTGCTGAGGTTTGGGGACCTCTAAGATTAGTGATCCTCAGAGCCCTCGCTGCTTCTTGAAAGCATGGTGCTATTCCTGTCTCTCACAGCTGCACTCAGCTGTCCTATCTGGATGCCAGGACCAGCCAGCATGGTGGCCTCTCCTCAGAAATCTGCTCAACTGAGTTCAAAAAAGATAGGGAGTGGCTGGGAGCTCATAGGGCCATCAGGCAACTTAGTGTTGTCATTTCAGACACAGAGCAGATCCGGGAGACCCTGAGGAGAGGACTGGAGATCAACAGCAAACCTGTGCTTCCACCCATCAACCCTCAGCGGCAGAATGGCCTCACCCATGACCGGACACCGTAAGTCTTCAGGGTCCCAGAGCTGGGATGAGAGGACAGTTTTGTCCTGAGGGACTGCTCACACAAACTACATGGGAAAACAATGCCTGTGGCCCCTTTTGCGTGAACCAAGATCTCCTCTAGGTTTAAGGGCAGGCATGGTTGGAACTTGTAGATCTGTAGATCATAGGAAAGGGGGTCAAAGGGGACCCAGTGGAGCAGGAACATAAACAGCAGTAAATATTTATGTGGGCTGTGTGAACAGACAAGAGGCCAGGTTGGGGCAAAATCTGACTTGGGGCCTCCCACCCTTGTGGGACCCATTGTACTGAACACGATTCCCTTCTTATCTTGGCCTTGGCTGAGTTGCCCTTCCTTCCTTCCTGGAGCCTGGTCTCCGGCTGATAGCTGCAACCTCAGGGACCTCCCTGTCTGGCCACCCCCATACTGGACGCCTGATGTTGAGGCCCTTCTTCCTGCCTGCCTTCCCTGGGACCAGAGAAGGGAAGAAAAGTCCTCTGCAAGCTGCTGCTGCCTGCCCAGGGGTTCTTTGAACCCTTATAAGAAACTGTGGCTGCTTCGGAGGTCAGGTGCACTTCCTGGCAGCCTCTTTCTCTGATCAGGAGCAAGTGGTGAGCAGGGTGGGAGCCGGTCACCCGCTTCTGCCCTCAGTCCCAGGGAAGCTCTAGGGAGTAGCTGCTGGCAAGGGACTCCTGGGAGCTGGCAGCTCAGAGCAGGAACCTTGCCTGCCAGGAAGGGAATCACCGTGCCTTGAGCTAGATGGAAGGTCACCTAATCCTGCAAGACTCGGGTGATCTACCCATTTGCGAAGAAGTCTTTGTTGCACACTTGCTGTATGGCAAGCTCAAGGCTTCTGGGATACAGAGGCTTGCCCTTTCAGGGGACACAGATGAAACAGTGAGCTGTTTGTGGCAGAAGCGGGCTGTAGATGGAGACAGCTGCTGTGGCTGCTACGTGCAGTCCAGCTCCAGTTACTGACCCACGGTCCCCAGAGATGGCAGTGATATAATGCAGTACAGGAGAAATGGCACATCTTGAGTAGTTCAAAAGAGTGTCTCCAAGGAGGAGGACCATGGGCTGTGTCCCACAAGTGTACCAAGCAGGGAAAGCTGCTGTGGGGTGGAGCAGGGAGGCCCAGCTAGCTAAGGTAGAGGCTGCAACCCAAGAGCAGGTGGAGGGGCAGGCAGCGTTGCTGCATGTGGCTCACCTGGCTCCCTACCATCCAGAAGCCGGGAAAGTTGACTCTGGCCTGGAAAGGCCTCCGTTGCCACTGCCCCTGCCACCACTCTAGAGTAGCTTCCAGCTGTGGTCAGTGGGCCTCTCCAGCCATAGTCCCTAAAGTATTTGACTTGAGGCACCAGGATCTTCTCGTGGAAGCAGCAGATGACCAAGCTGGGTCCTGGAACACTTGGAAATCTCTCTTTCTGAAGTCTGGACTGTGTCCCAGGGGCCCACTCCTTCTTTGGCCCTGAGCGTGGCTTCTCACTCAGCTTCCTCTGCACTGGTAGGAGGCCAAAAGCACTTGTAGGCTTGAAGTCTCAAGATGAGTGCATATAATGTGACAACAGTTACAATCCAGATGACCTCCTGCCTCTTAAGGGGCAGCATGTCTGAGCAGCCCCCCTTGCTCCTCTTATATGTCAGGCACAGGCCTGAGATCAGTGATTAACTGATCGATCTCTCTTTCTCTCTCTCTCTCTCTCTCTCTCTCTCTCTCTCTCTCTCTCTCT